CAACACCCTTTACCCATTTATTTCTATACTCCACTGTAATTATTTTACATTTATAATTGGATCTCTTAGTATCAAATGTATCAGCTCCCCATAGCTTTTGGTCTTCCACTTCACTGTTATGATTAGGAGGTTGTCCAACTGATTGCAGAACAACTTCAATACTAGAGTCAATAGGGCCTGGGGATTAAAAATAAAATAGCCAGTAGGCCTGTGCGAAGCGGCTAGTATTCACTTCAGATTCAGCCGATTTGGAGGACAGTGATTTGATTTGGCTGAATCTAATTTGGAGAGCTGAATCGCCAAATCAGCTGAATCTCAGAATCACACAGGCCCCATCCCCCACCAGCCCTAGCTCCCAGCTCTTTGAAAAAAAAATAGCCCCAAGTCACCAGCTGCCGCCAGGTGGGGTGCAATCCCTGCCATGAACCCCTCATCAGCTGTCCCAGCCCCCTTCTCCCCCACCCCATGGCTGACCCGCCCGTCCCAGCTCCCAGCCCTTTAAAAAAAAAAAAAGCCTCAACTCAACAGCTCCTGTGGCAGCCAGTGAATGGGGGTTTTTTGTTTTTTTGTTTTTTTTAAGAGCTGGGGCTGGGCAGAGTAGCTATGGGGGTGGGGGCTGGGACAGCAGGCAGGGGATGTGGCCTGGCAGGGGTCCCCCCATGGTCTCCTCCCCACCCCTCCAGGCCCCCTGCCCTGCCCCCTATTTACCAGCACGGAATCCGGGTCCAGCTTCCTGCTGTAAGCCAGCAGGGACTGCCCAAATTGCTGAACCTCTCCGAATCTTTTCCAAATCGATTCAGACCTTTTAATTGGTCCCCTGATTCTATTCAGATTCAGGGATTCAGCCACTAAATCAGGTTGAAACTCCTCGGAATTGAATGAGCACCCAAAGCTTTGCATAGCCCTAATGGCCAGATGTCTTGCCATACATTTTGTTCCCTGGGCCAGTGTGTTCCAAACCCAAACTCCACCCCAGTGAAGTCAGGCACTTTCACACTGCTACTGCATCTGCAATCACCATTTACCAGCACCACCAAGTTGCCACTCATTCCCTTTAAATGCAAGGAGACAATTCTGCAGGTGGTGCACAGAATGCAATACTACCAGTCTTAAGCATTTAAAACTCCTAATCAGAACCCCAAAAGTATGAGTTTAAAAAATAATGAACTTAAAACAATTTCATCTGCCTTCAGGATTTTCAGCTCTTCACTACAAAGGTGACTACTATAAACTTTCATTTTTCAGTAAAGCAGGGGTCATGAGCTCAAATCTCACTGGAACCTTGTGGTTCCTTAGAACAGCACATGCATCAACTTTATTTTCTGCCAAAAGCAGGGGCCTGAACTAGATGATCTCAGCAAGTCCCTTCCAACCCTACTTTCCTTTGATTTAAGTCAGAGGTGCTCAACCTCTGGCCCATGGGCCAGATACAGCCCACAGTATCATGTCATCTGGCCCACAGGGCTTCCCGTAGATCCAAAAACTTGGCAGCCGCTTCACCCCCAAATTTCTGGCTCTATGGGGAGCCCTTGGCCCTGCTGACTGAATCTGGTGCCTGAACCCAGAGCACAAGGCTAGGGTGGTAACTGGGCCCCCAAGGTCCAACCCCAGCACGCAGAGGGCAGGAAAGGGCAGTACCAACCTCCCAGGACCGAATTATGGCACACAGGGGGGGGCTGTGCCAGGCCCCAAGACCTGCAAACAGGCTCTGAACCACCCATCTGGCCCACATGGCCAAAAGGTTGAGCAGCACTGATCTAAATGAAAGTCAAAATTATCTTGCAATTACTGACTTCAGGATTTGTGGGAGCAGAACAACAAATATCACAGGATTCATGATAAAATTCTTGAGGGAGAAAATCTACGAAATGACTTCTGAAAATGAACTGCAGTACAGTATTCAAGAGATGCAAGGAAATCTGACTCCAATGGTCAGAGTATGCTTCAGAAAGTGACAAAGCACAGTTGATAAAGCTACTGCTTGGTTGCAAGAACAGAACAGAAAGTATCATTTCTCCTTGTGTGTGAAAACTTCTATTTTGCAAGTTCTTGGGGAAAAAAAGTGTTACTTTTTTCAAGTAGCCCTTTGGTGAAAATTATGTAACATGGTCTCTAGACAAAGTCATCATGGTTTGAAACTGTATGAGATTATAAAATGAATTGTAACCATTAAATAATTTAATTGGAATTTGACACTAATGGAATTTGGATTGCCATGAATCTGTCCTAGACATTATTATTAAATACTGGTATCATAACCGTGCCCAAGACCTAACAGGAATTTTAATCCTAACTGTATTTAACTGCAACTCCTGCTTTCACCTCCCCCTGCAGCCTCTGTGCTGAGACTGTACACAATGCCATGAAGCATAAAAGCTGAGGAATTATTGGACTACACATTGTTTTCCAAAGTACCATGGGATAAAAAAAAGGGATTTTGGAAAATGGCAAATTACCTTCCCAACATCAACTGCTAACAATGTATGAGACAGCTGCCCAAAATTCTTATGATGCTCAATAACACTGTGTTTTGGAACATGATAAATGAGAATGCATCAATGTGACAAACAGTTGTGCCAAAATCATATGGCATGCAGACATACCAAACCATGTTAGCTACAACTATGCAAAACAGCTAAACCTAACATGGTTAAAAACCACAGTATAAAGAGGGCCATAGCCTGTCAATTCTAGTACAATTTGTGAATGCTGTATTATCAAGGATGGATACCAGATATTACAGCATTTGGAACCTGATTTAAGTGAAGTTAAAAATCCTAATGCAGTGGCTCAATTTTTTGGACTTGAGGCACACCTCTGAAAATGCTAGCTCTTAGTTTTCACTATTTTTTTTACTACACAAATATAATTAGGCTTGGCAGAATTCAATTTTTTTTATCATTTTAACAGAAAACGATGTTTATTTTTAAGCATTTATTTTGATTTTTATCAACTTAAAATTCTCAGGCTTGCACAAAATTAGGTGCACAGAGAGCAGACAATTTATTAATGACAGTATACTATTATTATATTGCAGTTTAACCACCCACCGCCTACTGTAACAAATATAACTGCTGTAACTGCCACCAGCTGAGTGGCAGAGCTGCCATCAGTCCCAATTCCACTCATCCATAGCTCCCTCACCCACTTTCTTACTTCCTCTTCCTTTGTTCCCAGTCCCTTGGGGTTTCTGGTGACTGCAGTCCAAACTAGTCAGCACAGTTGCGTACAACTGCTCCCCCTGTTGTCACATACTCCATCTGCCATCATTTTTCTTATGCCCCCTTTCTATAAATTTTAATTATTAACAATGGAAATATTTTTCATTGGTCTGTAAGCGTGAGGTGGAATCAACGTTTATCAATATCTAATTTTTTTTTTAAAATCAAATCCTGCCAATGCTAAATATTATAGAGAAATTCTCACCTATTGTGGTCTTGCTCTGTTTGTTGCAATGGAAGAAAGTTTTAATATTATGAATTCCTGTGTGAAAACTCCAGATTTATCTTGTGAATCATGTTTACATACCTAACAATGCTAACTCTGTGCCCTGAAACAATCTCAAGGCACCCTGTTGAAAGTCACTGCCTTAACGTAAATATATCCTGCAACACTACTTCACTGGGGCTAGGGACAGAGGTTCAAAAAGCCTGAGCCTGAATCAGTTCAATCTTTGCAGGTTAGTCTAACCTGGCTACGCTAAACCAGTTTGTAACTGTAAAGACGACCCCCCCCACCCCCCCGGACTGAAAAAAATGCAGGCACATGCCTGCAGTGGCTTCAGTTGAAGCCAGGGAGGAGGGGGGCGGGGAGGGGGCGCTAAAGCAGCCCTCCCTTCCCTTCCATAGTACTGAGCTGAGGAGTGACATGGCTAGGCCCCGGCAGGATGCTCTGATTTGGGAGGCGTTTATCCTTCTCCTGACCTGCCTAGCAGGGGAGTGATAACACAGTGTTCATCACCCCATTAAGAAAACAACAGAGCGACATTACCAGCTACCTGTTGATTCTGCCTTTGTCCTGTCTGCCACAGCGTAGACCATAGCCAGCATGTGGTCTTCTAGCTAATGCTGTGTGTCTGTGTAAGGGAGAGGGGATGGGGAATCCCTGCTTAGAGAAGGGGGAGGGGCAGAAGCCAGGCAGATGCCTGCAGTCTCTGCCAACTCCAGCCAGGGAGCAGAAGGGAGGGGCCAGCTCTGCTGTGGAGCAGAGAGCCCTGTCCAGCCCAGATAACATGCCAAGATGATGGGGAAGTCTGATTTAACTTAAACTAGCAAGGGGACAGATATTGTATAAACCAGTTTGACCCAAATCAGTTAAGTCTGATACTACATTCAACCAGGTTGATCTCAAACTGGTTTCAGCCATTTTCAGACTGGTTTATGTGCACCAAACATCTGTTCCATTACAGGTTTAAACCAGTTTCTGATCGCTTAAACCAGTTTGTGTGTAATGTCTGTCCCTAGCCACGTTGTTTAAATATGTTAAAAAGTCCTTCCTGTGTGTTTGTATTTGTATTACTTCATTGGTATTTGGAAGACAAATCTCTTAAACAATTATTGGTAGTTACAGTACTTCATATTTATAGACCGTAACAATTTTCCAGCCTTGAATAATTTACACCAAAAAAAAAAAAAAAAGATTTTTTTCCCTACTGACTAAAAGAGCAATTTAGTATTGACAACATTTCAGATTATTTCTTTAAAACAAACAAACAAAAAAAATCAGTATAAAAAACAAATCCAAGGACTTGTAGCAAAAGAAAACAATGAATAACTAATCCCATTTTGTGTGGGAGTTTAATTTATACTGCTTCTTTGGCAATTTTACTGTCCAAACAAAAACAACTAATCCTGAACCTCGAACTTGCTCATCTTTATCTAAATTTACTAAGTTATGTACCAGCTGTTTGACACAGTAATCCAAAAGCACTGTTATTTACACATGATGAGGATATGAACAATTAGCTAAAGACTAATTCTAATAACAGAGCCCAAACTTACCAGCTGCACAGTATGGTGCATTCTGTACTCTTCTTCACTCTGATGGCGCTGTTGGATCTTTTCATTATGCTTTGCAATGCAGATCTCCTGGAGAAACCAAAAGCATTCTCTATAAAATATACATTCCAAATATCACATTGTAAAAGCCCAAGTGCAATACTTTAAATGGCACCAAGCATTAAAAGTGACACAGTTCTCTCTCAAGCTTCATTTAACAGTTTCAACAAGCTAGTCTACTTATAGCTAAAAACAAATTGTTTTAAATGCTATCTTTAAGAACCAAAAGGACACACAGAACAAAGCTACTAGCCAAGTCCAAACAACAACAGAATTAGAGGTAGCTCTGACTTCACATAGCTGGAAGTGCAAAATTTATGTAAATTAGTTGCTTCTATCATTCAAGAAAAATGGGCATTCTGTGCATGCAACTGGATAATAGGACACTTGAAAGTGCTAATTCCCATTTTGCATGTGCAATCCAGACAGCGCACACGAACATGGATACACAGTGCAGATACATCTCTGCAGGTAGAACATGTCCACTGTATTCCCCAATGGTTATCTGAACGCCTAAGTGGAAAGGAAAAAAAAAAGGTTGCATCACCTTGAAGCTCAGCACCTTCTCTCAGATAAAGACATTGAGAAAGATTTTATAACGTCTATGAAAGAGCCTAAGAACAGAAATAATTCCCGAAGTGCACCCAGGGCTGTTTTACAAGAGACAGTAATATCAAAGCACACAGCTTTAACTTGCCAAACTTCACGCAGACTATAGTAAGAACCGGCCACATGGAGCACTGCTTTTAAACATGCCACTCTACGGCAGAAAAGATATGCATGTGCTCAGTCATGATGGCACTTGGGGCATAACTGAAAGTGGTAGCTTTGGCTTCAGCTATCAAACAACAGACCTATATTGGTGTTAGAAAAGCTTAAGCAAGTCAAAGAAAAGAAGTAATAATAATTAAAAAAAAATCAAAACAAGACCAAAAAATTATGAACACAATGGTAACTTTCTTTAACTGAAAAGAAAACATGAAAATGCCCTCCCCCCCTCAAACACAACCAAGGCTGTCATGGGGGCCACAGATGTAGGCATGTGGCCCCAACAGAAACTACTGTCTGAAAAGTTAAAAAAAAATAAAAAGAAATTCAGGTGCAGCTCACTGTACAGATTCATACACACAAAGCTCAAAAGTAATTTAGGTATATAATGAAATGCCCGTCTCAACTTTACCAGCAGCAAATGCTATATTACAGTAAATTCTATCATTGTTAATCTTTTAAATACTTCACTAGTCATAAGGTAGAGATCAGGGACTAAACATAGACATTGGATTTTTGATACATTACAATCTGCCTGGCAACTGACTCCCCAGCCCAGCCCAGCCCAGCCCCTGGCTTCTTTACTTTTCATTCCATCCAGGAAGAGCACACACCAACTGCTGCAGCTTCCTTAGCCCGACGAAGGGTTTTTGAACCCGAAAGCTTGCTTAATAACTATTCTCCAACCATTTGGGATGGTCTAATAAAAGATATCAAATTCACCCAAGGAACCTTGTCTGCCTGTTCCATTTCTTGGCATTTGCTATGAAAGCCTTTCAGATACAGACCAATTAAAAAGCTTCTAGACCACTTCCACCTGAAAATAATGTGTAGATGTTAACAGATGTATATTTAATCAAAAACGCCATTGCAGGCAAACTGACCTGTTCTATGTTTCTGTAGCATACAGTTTCCTGACTTGTCTGAGGTGCATGAGCAGTTGGTGGAGGAGGTGGACTGAGCGGTTCCAAGTTGTCATTAGTTTTGCTAGTCTGAGATGAACTGGATGCCAACCAGTGAGGAAAAAGAATAGAGTTGGCCAAATAATTTAACTGTCTTGTATCCTGAAAATCTTGGTTATGGTGCACATTATTTGATGAGCTGCCTCTGCTGCCTATCATACTGCTGTCTGGTGAATAGTATAAGGGTGCAAACTGCTCTCTGAATGACTCACTCGTGATGTTCCTCCAGCCGGGCAACAAAGAAGGCATGGCCTTCTCAATTATCTTGTTAGGAGACGGCACTGGCTTTGCTGGATCAGTCCACTGAGACATATAGATGTTGTCCTTCAGAGCATCTGCTTCCATGTCTGGCTCTCTGAAATCCATGTTATGGATACAAAATAAATGCAGCAGAAAACAAGCATGTAGTGCTGAAGCAATGACCACAGTATGTCCTAGACATTGCCTCCATATATATATGATCTATTTAAATCATAGATTTTTTTTTTCAAACTGGAAGCTAAGGATCTTCTGTCCACAAGAACTGTAAACAAAACAAAACAAACAAAAAGTCACAGTAATATCTAATTTTCTACTAAACCTTAAGGACTTTTCAGCTCTCCTTTTTCTAAATAAAGCAGCACTATTTGGGGAATAATATTTTAGGCAAGGCTCGTAACACTGCCTCTTACTATGGTTGCTCAGTATTTCCCATTAAGTTTTCAGTTGCTTTATATTGACGCCAAAACTGGAATACATGGGCTGAAAAGTTTCTATGCCAGGTGTCTGCCTCAGATTGAAATTAAAAAAATAAATTCAGCCACAAAATGTATAGCTGTTTTTCCAAGCAAGATGAGAGTGGAAATACCTTATCTTTACCATGTTAAAAATCTGCAATCATTTTCATAATTCTGGGAATCCCAGTATTTGAAGTAGAGATTTTAAATTTGGCAATGGGGTGGCCTTAGTATCAGGGATGTACATTTTGCTATTCCTGTGAAAATCCATGCCAATTTTGTCAATTTACAAGCCTCTGAAAAATCTGTTTGTCCCTGCTTGTTAAAGATTTCTTAAATTTAAGCAGTTAAATTCCTCTTACATACTGAACATGCTTGAGCCTCTCTCAGTTTCTAGAACTGACATAAATGTATATACGTCATTCCCAAAGAGTAACTGAGTATATTCCCTCCAGCCAAAAGATATAAGGGTGAAGTTTGAACTTTCCCTGTAATAGCTGCTCTGGGCTAGGATGAAGTAGGGAATCTGTCTCCCCTGTTTTCTCCATGGCTCAATGGTACTGGCTAGGCACTGTAGAAGAGAAAGCTGTCTGACTCAAATACAGATGGGACCAGAATTAATTTAAGAGACTGAGAAAAGAGAGGGAAAGGACAGCCTGGGACAGGGAGCATGACGGAAGACTGGGACAGGATGCCAGCAAAAGAAAAGAGGGAATCTGCAACAAGAAGTTAAAGGCATGAAGAACAGACAAGAAGCTCAGGAAAGGATACTGGGACTGGGAACCCATAGGGATGGGAAAAATAGGTAGGAAAGGAAATGTAAATGGAGATCAAAAAGTGGAAAGTGACAGATGAGGGGATAAGGTGGAAACTGGAACTGGAACTGATAAAAAAACAGAGGAAAACAAGGAGCCAGAAGCAGAAAGGGGAGGATTGGGAAAGCCTGAACAACGAGACAGGAAGGGAGACACTAAGCAGAATGTATGAGGATTTAGATGCATGGCATTATCTCTCAGGCTTTAGCAACCACTGGCCACCCTTAAGCTAAACAGCAGGCATGGGCTTAAATTTTAAGTTCAGTTAGGAACCCGCCCCTAGAAACTCTATTTATTATGTACTTTTTTGTATTCAATTGATCATTGTTGCTGGTTATATAAATGGTTGCATAGGTAAGAAACTTTCTTTCTGTGGCCTCAGTCCTATGCAGTGCCTCTACTCACTCCCATCAAAAAAGCAGTTGTAGTGTCACAAATGACTGATTCAGTTAGAAAGGGAGAGGCAGGTTAGAGAAATTAAACCTGTTTGTACAGAACACCTTTGCTGGCAACAACAGACACGGAAGTACAAAACATTTAGAAAAGTCTCATGCTGCTGTGTTTGGGATTTTGCATATATTGAGCTGTTTTAACTTAAAGGAATGTTAATAACTGATATTGCAAGAGGCAAGGATTTCTTAGGGTGATATGTTTTATTGAGGAGGGCCACTCTCTCTCCAATCTCTCAGTCCTGATCCTCAAGGGAAACTTACACAACACTTCCCAGAGACGAGCCTATGAGCTCCATTTCATCAACCTGCTGGATACTAGAGATCATGGACTAAACATAGACATCGGATTTTTGATACATTACAATCTGCCCGGCAACTGACTCCCCAGCCCAGCCCCTGGCTTGTTTACTTTTCATTCCATCCAGGAAGAGCACACACCAACTGCTGCAGCTTCCTTAGCCCGACGAAGGGTTTTTGAATCCGAAAGCTTGCTTAATAATTATTATCCAACCATTTGGGTTGGTCTAATAAAAGATATCAAATTCACCCAAGGAACCTTGTCTCACTAGTCATAAGAACTTCTTGATTAACGCAACTGGAAACTGAAGTCTTTTCTTTATCCAAAGAACAGGTATATCAAAAGTTCCAGAAGTTTTCTATAAACTAAACTTTACAGACTGTAGTAGTAAGTTTACAAAGATGACAAGTTTCAGATGAGACATGCTCTGTTAATGTCCCTGCTGTCTTATCTTTGCTTCATCATCTCTCTGAAGACATTGCAAGACAGACACGATTGTGACAAGTTGAGAAAAAGAGTGGAAAGAGCAAGAAAAAAAAACAAAAAAAACCACTGCTCATCTCTAGTTCTTCTATTAGTACATTTTTCTGAGTCAGTTTTACTTTAAAACAAATTAAGAGCCAAAATAAGCGCTTCGAGCAAGTCAAAATTGGGGTAATGGCGCAAAACCCAAACAGCCTTGACTTTCTAGCAATCAAGAACTAAACAATTCTAATACATTTTAGTTCTCTTACTGTAAATAACTGTATTAGTGAAAGTATGTATGTGCTGATTTGGAACTGTTCAAACAAGACCTGAAATCTGAAAACTGTTCAAGTTACACTTATTTAAAGATAGGAAACAAAGATCTTGAATTGTGGTGCATCCTCAAAGTTAAGATGACTAAACGTTCAATTCCTATTTTTAGTATATTTTCCTCTCCTTGGGTTGTAAGACATGATGATTATATGTTAATTAAAATAACAATGCTGAAATTTAAAATGGGAAAATAAAGGATAATAGCAATACAACATACTAAG